AAGCGAGAGAGAGAGAGAGAGAGAGAGAGAGAGAGAGAGAGAGAGAGAGAGAGAGAGAGAGAGAGAGAGGAATACATCAGAGTTTCACAGTCTCCTCCTGTGATGTTCTCTGAGTGTCCTGAAGAGCCCCACTGCTTAAAGTTTGTACTGTTTTCCAGTAGTGCCAATGCAAGGAACAAGCCTTTCTCACATGGACCTGCGAGGCGCATTATGATGTAAACTGTATTTGTATAGTACCCTCCTGTTTTATGTCTTACTCTTAAGATTGGGCTTATGTGTTAAAAGGATGGAATTAGGTTACCATATTCAGGACACCTTAGCAAGGATTTCATGTTGTCAGGATTTATGATGATACTGACCTGCTCACCCAGCTGAGTGTGTGTTGGTTTTCTGCAGCATCAAGTTCTGCACTGTTTTTTCTTCCTTTGCATATAGTATTATTTGAAAGGACGTCACTCTGCTCATCTAAGGAATTAGAGAGGTACGGATTTTAAATTATTCTGTATGGGAAATGTGTCCCCTTCATTAATTTATCCGTCCATTTATTTATATTAGTATGGACTTGCAGATACTGGTTTTAGACATTGGATTATAGTCCAGTTGTACTTTGTTTTGTTGCTCAAATTGGTGCAGCTTTGACTGTTGGAAGCTGACTGCCTCTCTGTCCCTCCTCTCTTAATTGGGCATTCAAACACTTTTATTTATGTGACCCTTCAAACTTCAAACTAGTTGGTAAACTTAGCCAAACAATTTTCTCTTGTTAAAGAGATAAGGAAAGCCGGGGCTGGAGAGTTGGATCCTTGGTTCACTGGACTTGTTGTTTTCAGAGGACCTAGGTTCAGTTTTCTGCATCCACGTGGCTCATAACCATCTAATACCCTCCTCTGAACTCTGCAGGCACTGCACACGTGATGCAAATACATACAAGCAGACAAAACACTTGTACACACAAAATCAATCTAAAACTTAAAGAACAAGAGGAAGAGGTAAGGAAACCGAATCTTACCAGCCAGAATGGTGATTGCCTGTAATCTCAGCACCTGGAAGGCAGAGAAAGGTTGGTCTCTGTGAGGTTGAGGCTACCCTGATCTACATAGAGAACGGCAGATCAGCCAAAGGTGCATAGTGAGACCTTGTCTCGGGAAAAGAAAGAGTTAAGGAAACTAAGGCACAAGGGTAGTGGGTGACCTGTTACTTTCTACAGGAGAATAACAAGCAGGACTGAGACTGGATCTGTTACTACAGAATTCTGCAAACCTCAGGTGGAACTTTCTGAGTTAAGGCTTCTGGAGGTGGTATCCTACTTACACGCCCAGGATCAAAATAGAAAATACATGGGAAGAAGTTGTGTGTAGAAAACAAAGGATTAGTTTAAGATTGACATTTAGGATAAAATAGACTTTGGCCACATTGATGGAAATGGAATATTGTTGTTGTTTGTTTTTGCTCTTTTGTGGGGTGTGCCACTCAGCTCCCAAATAAATCACACTCAGAGGCTTATTCTTAATTACAAATGCCCAGCCTCAGCTTGGCTTGTTTCTAGCCAGCTTTTTTTAACTTTAAATTATCCCATCTACCTTTTGCCTCTGGGATTTTTTCTTTTCTTACCTCTGTATATCTTATTTTTACTCTTACTCCGTGGCTGGCTGTGTGGCTGGCCCCTAGTGTCCTTTGTTCTCTTGCTCTTTCTTCTCTTACATCCAGATTTCTCCTCCTATTTATTCTCTCGACCTGCCAGCCCTGCCTATCCTTTCTCCTGCCTCAATATTGGCTGTTCAGCTCTTTATTAGACAGGCACAGTAACACAGCTTCACAGAGTTAAACAAATGCCACATAAAAGAATGCAGCACAGCTTTGCATCATTAAACAACACGGTGTAAACAAATGTAATACATCTTAAAATAATATTGGAATGCTGACCTTCCCTGAGAGGGGTGGGTAGGAGAAAATCTGGGTGACTGTGGCAGAAGATGGCTAATATTCAGATCTTGCTGTCGAAGCAGGATTGTAAAGTGGGAATCTGAGAGTTCCTGAAAATTGGGAGCAGAGAAGCTAGTAGGGCTTAGAATCTGGGAATGACATTTTATGGACATGACTCCATGATTTGGATCAGCTACTGGAGCTAAAAAGATCGTTGAGGTATAACTCTGATTTTCACATTCTGATTGGGCGAGACTACCCACCCCCTGCCAAAAAAAAATCAATTATAGAGCAGTGTGATAGAGTTATCATAGAAGTACAGAACTAACTGAGAAGGAGCAGAGATAGGGAACAATTTCATTCAAGGCTGAGCTGAGCCTGAGAGAACAGAATGCACAAGGACAGAGGAGGAGTATGAGAAGTGAAGGGCCTCTCCTGTGTGCTGACTATGGAGAACTAGGCAAGGCAAAGCAGGATTGAGGGCTGGATGTATAAATTTGGGCCAGATCCCCTCTCCCCCAGAGGAGTTTATTTAGTATGTGAACGGGCACATGTGCCATGGCGTGTGTCAAGGTCAGAGAACAACTTGCAGGTGTCAGCTCGCACCCTACCATCATGTGGGTGTAGGTCAGTAGGCGCCTTTACCCACTGAGCTGTCCTTTGGTTTGAAGGGGATTAATCTACTTCTAGTCTGGACTCTGAAAGGTAGGAAGACACACACTTTTGATCTGGATCTTGTGACAGGAAGATACAGGCCTTTAATTTGGGTCTTGAGGTGGGAAGACACATGGCTTTAATCCAAATGTTAAAGCTGGAAGACTTACCCTTAATCTGGGCCACACCTTCTGCTGGAAGTCTATATAAGGACATAGAAGAAGGAGGGTTTTGCTCTTTGCCTGCTTACCCTTGTCCTGCTAGCACATCCATTCCTTCACTGTCATTGGAGCCTTCTTCAGGATTCCAGCATATACAGAAGACCAGCTCAAACATCCAGCCTTGTGGGATTTAGCAACTACTAGATTCTTGGACTTTCAATTCACAGCTAGCCATTGTTGGATTAGCTGGACTGAACCTGGATTCCAATAAATCCCTTTTTAGATATAGTTCTGTGACTCTAGAGAACCCTAATACATCACCCCTCATAAAATATGTTGCTTCAGTTACTTTACATATCCTTAGTTTATGTTCCACATGGAAGAATATTTTGCCAGTTAATTGATATGTGACATTGATCATATATCAGTGATGCCAAGATATAATATTATAGGTCTCTCAACTTTGAAAAATAGTAACTCCCTATTAGCTTGCTTAGATGCTCTCCCCCCTACCCACCCATACACTATATAAATAGTCAGAACTTCCTCATCATACTTACCTATGGGTGGACTCTGAGTTCACTGGCTCCATTTGTGTTTATTTATTTTTGAGACAGGGTCTCACTAGATCCCTGGCTAGCCTAGAACACTTACATAGACCAAGCTGGCTTGGAACTCAGAGCTGCACCTGCCTTTACCCCCTAACACCACCTCGCTGGGATTAAAGTTGTGTGCCACTGTGCCATACCTTCTGTTGTGATCCCTACACTCCAAGGTCTCCCCATTCACAATACAGACTAGGCACAGTAGCCTGGACTGAGGTGTACATGGGATAGATTTACTCTGCCTTCTCTTTCTATACAGACAGAATAGGAAAGCAACCTGTCGTTAACTATGAGGAAGCCATCATGTGTAATTTCAGAAACACTGGTTTAGCTGGGTATGGTGGCACCCATTTGGAATCCCCTCACTTGAGAGTTAGAGAAAGAAGAATCAGGAGTGTAATATTAGCCTTGACTACATAGCAAGTTTGAGGCTACAATGGAACAGACAAAACCTTGTTCTACAACAACAAACTCCCACTACAAAGCTGGCTCTTTCCTGCCTGATAACCAATTTGTGAAAAGTAAACACACCTCTCCTCCCCAAATTTCTGCTCCAATGATTTCAGCCATCTTTATTCTGCTTTGGTTGCTGCTAATAATAACAATGACTTTATACATTAAATATGCTGGTATACCTGCTGAACCTTACTTTCAGTTTGTTTTGTGAATGGCTCCATAATCCACACCTTGTTTCTTCATGACAGTATGGAAGTCCAGGAAAGTCAAAACTCTAGCTTTGTACTTCACAACAGTGTAGCTGAGGCTGGGTGAAAATCCAAGTGGCTAACTAGGACTCTTTGGTACAGGCTTTGATTGAAAACTGCAGAGGATGATAGAAGATGAAGCTTGGGTTCCCTACTCAGAATTCTAGGAGCCACAG